CAGTTCATGTACCCTTCTTATATCCTTCCCTTACCCCTCACAAAGAAGAAAGGGGAAGAGAAAATCAGGAAAGTATGCCTCCACTTACTGGATCACGTGTATACAAAGTATATACATTGAAAATAAAATGTGATATGTTATCCTACACTTGCTATTTAACTAGGTCAATTTTACCAATTTATTTCATTGTTTATCTCTTCTTAACTTCTTAAAAATCCCTTATCCAATTGATATGATGTAGTCTACTAAATGAAATGTTGCTGCCTCCAAATACAATAATGGTTCTGTCTATTTCTTCTTACTTTGCCAGTTTTTCTTTTATATATCATTGGCCATATTGTTTGGGATGGAGTAAGACTGGATTAGTGTTTAAATGGTTTAGTGACATTTCTCAATGAGGAAACATCCAGTACCAATGGTCTTGCTCTCCCATTTTTAGTCTTGGATAGTTGTCTGGGGCCACTGAGAGATCAAGTGATTTGCTCAGGTCACATAACCAGTATGTGTCAGAAGATGGACTTAAACTGGGGGCTTTCTGACTCCAAGACTAGCTTTCTAGCCATTTAGCCTCAGCATATTCCCATTTGTCTGGAACATAAAATTCAGTGTTAACTTTTCATTGATTAATGAACTTTTAAACGTAGTGAAATTATCATTACAAAAATAGTTATTGTCATATTAGTACTATTCTCTCATTCATTTCCCTTTTCAGATGGAGTTCAGATAGAAATCATCCTGGGATTATTCATTCATTACCCTATTATTTTATTATATTTAGGGCCAGTTAGGTGGTACAATAGATAGAGCCCTGGACCTTGAGTCAGTGAAACCAGAACTCAAATCTGGCATTAGATACCTACTAGTTGTGTCAGCTCAGGAAAGATACTTCATCCCTGTATTCCTTGGTTTCCTCAACCGTAAAATGGGCATAATAATATGACAACCTCCCAAGGTTTTTGAGAGGCTCAAATGAGATAATATTTATGAAGCATTTAGCACAGTGTCTGGCACATAGGCACAAAGTATATTACCTAGTTGCCCCCATCCCTCCCTGCCTTCTTTCTTTCTTCTGTATCTTCTTCCTTCTTTCCTAATATGCTTAATCTTCTTAAAAGCATTATATAGATAGATTAAATATGACTGCCTTTTATGACTAATGTGGAAATATGTTTAATATGATTGTACATGTATAGCCAATATCAGATTGCATGCTGTCTTGGGGAAAGGGGAATAGAGGGAGGGAGATAAAATTTAGAACTCGAAATCTTACAGAAGTGAATGTTGAAAACTAAAAACAAAAAAAAATAAAAAAATTTTAAATATGTCTTTTATGTAATTGAATAAAATTATCAAATATAAGTTCCTTATGTATAGGATCACTAAAAGCATTTTCAGCCCAGTTCCAGTAGAAGAAAGAACAAGAGAGATAATATGTACCTCATTCAGCTTCCATGTAGTTTTGGTTTCTTCTACTAGGACTTTATATTTTTAAGCTTTTCATTCTACAGAGTTTGGAGATTACAAATATTCCCTATAGTTACATCTATTAAAAATATTGGTCTTAAATTTTTATGAATCAATGTTATAGCTCCCCATTACCTCCAAGATTACATATAAAATCTTCTGTTTGGCTTTTAAAATGCTTCATAATTTGTCTTCTTCCTACCTTTACATTCTTCTTATACTTTAATCCCCTTTATATACTCTATGATCCAGTGACAATAGACTCCTTGCTGTTCCTTACATAAGACACTCTATCTTCTGACTCTTCATATTTTCAATTCCTGACCCCCATGCCTGGAATTCTCTCCTTCCTCTTAGCCTCACCAGTTTCCTTCAAGTATCATCTAAAGTCCCATTTTCTTCAATAATGGAGAACAGACGTATCCATCATCTTAAAAACAATACTGGTCATTTTTTTAGGGTTTAAGCTGGGCAATGCACCAAGAGCTATTTCATTAAAGTTTTGGTGTGAAGTCAGAAGTACCTCACTGAATTAAAGTGGCCACTTTCTATTCTGTTTCTTAAAAACAAAACAAACTTTTCCTCCTTTCCTTCTCTCCAGAGTTTTAATGGTAAAAGAAAAGGGATTTAAACCTTTTTGCCTTATGCACATTTTGAAAGTTCTTATCAGCCTTTATTCATTTTGTGAAGTAATAATTTTTATTGGATAGGAAATACTTCTCACCCTATGTATCTTTATATATAGTCATTTCTTTGAGGTCCCATTTTATCCCTACTTCTCTATCTGTCCTCTATGCTTATTTCTGGATGTTTGTTTTCTCTCCTGGTCAACTACTCTCCTTTTCCTTTCTTTTTCAAGTATCTCTTCCTCCTCATTTTTCCTGTCTCCCACATTCCTTTTCTCACAAGTCTTTTTTATCTTCCCACCTGATTACCCCTTATATTACCTTTTCTATTACTCTTATGCATTTTCTCTCCTTCCATGGTTTCAGTCCCCCATATTTACTCCTTTCTTTCACATTTTTTGTGAAATATTTTTCAATATTTTGACAAATTTGTGGTTTTATGGATTTGAGTGCTCTTCCAATGATAAAAATCACAATCTATCCACATCTGCCTAGCCAGAGGCATTTTTGGCTATTTCCTCCCTCTGTGGGGCTGGGACTGGGGCTGGGGAACACCCTACATGCTGGAGCCTTGTTTTAGATTTCTTGACATTAAGGAGATAGCAATGGAGTTCCTATCACCTATCCCTCATTCTTGCTAAATGACTAGCTCATGTTTTTTCCTGATTATTAATCTCTCTGACATAATTTGTACCATTTCCATTGCACAATCCTTCCTTGTTCCTAGGTCTATCCACTGAGGCCAAGAAAAAAAAATCTGGTCTCTTCCATTAGATTTACTTCAATGTAACTGACATCGTGAGTGTGATTTCTTCCTCCAGTAGTACAAACTATGGAATATAATGAATAGAGTTTTATAAATGGATGAGGAAATGTGGACAAGTACTATCTACTAGAAGAGAGGTGGATTGTGAAGAGCTAAAAAGGAAATAATCATTTTTAAACATCTACTATGTGCCAGGCATTGTGCTAAGTTCTTTGTAGATATTATCTCATTTGATCTTCACAACAACCTTATGAGGTAGGGGCATTTATTTTCTCCATTTTACAATTGAAACAGAATAACTTGCCTGAGGTCACGTGGCTACTAGGTGTCTGAGGCTGGATTTGAACTTGTGTCACTGACTTCAGCCCGCTGTCCCATATATGGATAAGTGAGTAAAAAATGGGAAGTTTGAAAAGACAAGAAAATAAAAGTTAAAAAAGAACCTCCAATTAAACACCTACACACCTAATTTAAGTACCAAATTCCAAATACAAAAGAAATGCAAATATAAGAATATTTTTCTCCTAATTTGGGTTTCTTTCTAGCAATCTTGATTTACAATATGAATAATGTTACTAAATTTTTAAAAGTAGTATGAAGGCTCCAGTCAAATTACAAAGACATTTACAAACCAAAAACCTGGAATTTTAACATTTCATTCTGTCAAAGAATGCAAGTAACACATTTCAATAACTTTTTTTCTCCTTTTCCCATGGAACTTTCAGACTATTTCTAGTTAATGGACAGATACCTCTGAAATACCAGAAGGAATTCTAAAACCTCAGTGCCTTCTTCTACCATTGCCTTTTTTCTTCTTCTTCACTGATTGTCTTCTGGAGTAGAAGTTCTTGATAGGCCTTTTGTGGACACTTCTGTACAGTATAGATCACAATTACCAATGCCTTTTTTTGTGCTGAGATGCCTTGCCCTATTCCCTCTCAGAAATCTTCCACAGGTGATCCACCCAACCTTCTGGGATCCTTCTTTAATATTCTGTAAGTATCAGTACAAAAAGCAGGAGGATATTTTTAATTATTTCATTAACTTAATATCCTTCTTACAAATGTGTAAAATGCATGGGAATGTTCCAGTTATGTAAGCCTAATAAAGCAACCCAATGACATTATTCATTTGATTAGAAACTCTAAATACTGAAGTGAAACTCATTAAGGTTTTCAATATCTATAAATAAAGTTGGCAGAAAAAAAAAACAAATTGCAAAGTTATTTCAACTCAGACATCTCAACAGCTGTAGTCATGGTCTGCCTAGCTTAAAATGTTTCTGATTGAAAAGCATATAGATGCTAGAAAAAATTGAACAAAACAGAAACCCTTGAATTTATAATTTCAAAATATTATGTTTGTAGAATTAACTATGGAAGTAATGCTAATTTTCCACCCAAATTCCATAGAATATTCAGGATAAAGCATTCCCTAGTTCAGAACTGGTTATTTTCCAAAACTCTGTAAATTGGTTGCTTGAAATTCAGAACACATTTTTCCCATGGAAACCATTTTGTACAAGGCAGTTGCATTCCCAAGTCAGTCCTCCAAAGTCTATTTAACTCATAAATATGACATATACTACTAAGGGTACTACAGAACTTAACCGTCGTGTATAATGATGGGTCTATTGTGAAATGATTTCCATGTTCCAAATTGGGATGTTAGGAACACATCTTCCTATACTGTAGCATGATCAGCGGGGATGAAGGAATTCCTATATCATGACCTCCATCTTCTAAGCAATAGGAGTGGGGATACTCCAGCCCATATGATTTAGAGGTGGAAGAGACCTTAGAGATGATCAAATACAACCACCTTATTTCATGTTTCCTTATCAGGAAACTAACCCTTGAGAAGTGAAATAAATGCCTATCACATAGGTTATGTTACAATCAGGGATTGAGCCCAAGTTCTTTGTCTCCAAGTTTAGTGTTCCTTCCACTACATCAAACTGCCTCTTAATGTGGTGGGACAAGACTCCAACAGGATAGAGATGAGGGACAAGACTTCAACAGTATGAGAACTCCAGTGGGAGAGCAATGGTGGGAGGTTGTGGATGCTTTGAGGCCTTGGGTTGGCTCCCCTATTTTCATTTCTTCTAAAGATCCCTTTGATTGCCAATCTGCTTTCTTTTCCAGATACCACTTGTAGCTTCCCTCCAACATCTCTGCCCTCCAGCTTACTTCAGAACAATGCATGGTTTCACAGTTTCTCCTTACTCTTCTTGTCCCTGCAGTAAGTATAGGGTCCTGATATTTTGAAAAGAGATTTTATTACCAGAAACAATGGATAAACCAAGAGGTAATAAATTAACACTGGAGATTATGGGTTTTAAAAGTCCTGAAATGATGCTTTTTGAACACCTCTTCAAGTTTTCCTCATCTTACCTACCATTTATATTTTGCTCTGAAAGGAAAGGCAAAAGTCATATTTTTATATAAATAAATCTTTGGGTACACAAAAGAATGTGTCAAATTTATATTTTGTCCACATTTTTGAAGAAATCCCAGAATCAGTATCTGTCTTCCTTCTTTACAACATATCAACTACAAACAGAACATTTAATGGAGAAAAGGGAGAAGTGGGAACCAGATTTGCTGATGGTAAGTATGCAAGGACGCTCCGGCCTCTGTGGAAATAAAGGACAAAAGGAATGAAGAAAGGAGGCAAAAATCCAGGTTAAAGGGATGAAAGGGGAATCTTCAAGTTCCTGTCTAGCAGTCACAGAATCACATAATCTGATTTGAAAATGTTGTACAAAGGCCATTTAGTAGAAATCACACTTGAACCAGAATTATCTGTGTCAAGTATAGGGTCCAGCATTGAGGATCTGCTGCTTGGCCCATAGAATACTATAGCACTCCCTATTCCATTCTCAGCATAGAATTAACTCTTATGAGAGGAGTTTGGATCCTTTGCCTCTCACTCAAGATCCTCAAGACTAAGGTTATGGCTCACAAGTCTAGAGTGTCCCCCAAAAGGGAGAAAAAATAAAAAAGATGGTCAATGTACAACATAGATGTGGTGAATAATTCATTCTTTCATAGAACACTCACAAGAATAAATTAACAGAATGACTTGGCACTGTCCTTACTACTTGGGCCAGATTTGGGCCAGTCCTCTTCTTAATGGGGGACATCTTCTCCAAGAGCTTTGGGGACTCTTAGGGTCTTAAAGTTGTTGAGGACTCCCTTTGGAATCAATTCTGCTTCATCCTGTGATGGGGAACTTCTCAACCTCTTAAAGTTACCTCCAATGCTGGATACATCTACTTCAGAATACTTGTTTGCCTAAGATCAAGAAAGAACAAACACAAAACAGGCAAAAGCATCAGGGGCCACAGTGTAAGGCAAGCTTACCTGCACTTACTGCTACATGGATAATGTCATATTGATTTTTAGGTGGAAAAAGATCTTTTTCCCACTACCCATCACTGGAATCGCATGATCCCACTTGAAGAGTTGCAGCCAAGATAACAATGGCTGGAAACTATCTCCTCTTTTAACTACTGAAGCACCCTGATCACCTACCTATGTTGTCATCATGGATTGGGGAGATGACCAAGGAACCCCTCAGGGTTTGCCACATTATAACACAATACCAAATCTTTTCATTATTGTATCATCTCATGTTCAGAAGCAGCTGGGGAGTTCTTTATCATCAACGTGTCCAAATAATGAAACACATACTTAGCTAGAAGCAGGTAAAGAATACGTGAACATGTTTTCTCTCTCTCTCTGTCTCTCTCTGTCTCTCTCTCTGTCTCCGTCTGTCTCTCTCTATGTCTCTCCCTCTTTCTGTCTGTCTCTGTCTCTCTCTCTGTTTCTCTCTCTCTGGTGGAACCTGCTACATTGTCAAGTAGTTATCCAGTATTTGCTTGGAGACCTCAAATGAGGGGAAATCTATTGTCTCCAGAGTCAAGCTGCTACACTTTTAGATAGCCCTAATAGGAAGTGTTTCATTATGTAAAACTAAAATATACCTATGTAATTTATATTCATTACTATCTGAATACAGACAGACTCTGACCTCAGAAAGCTTATGATCTAATAGAGAAACGATACAAGAACTCAGAAATATTATTCAGTACTACCAGAAGACAGACTTTTAAATGTGACAATATGGAGGAGAGGGAGTAAAGAGGACACCTCGATCAGTGCCTAGTACTTGTTAGCAGACAGAACCAGAACATGACTTGTTCTCATCTGTCTATCTACCACCAATCACTTGGTTGCCTCTCACTGTTTGAATCTGCCCAAGGTTGGTGTTTCAAAGAATCAGAATATAGTTTATAGCTTCAACCTACTTAGCTTCTCCATTCTCTTCAAAAAAGCTGCGTTCCTGGTAGGGTTCTTACAAAGGCATTCTGGTATATGTTATTTAAACAGAATATTAGAAGTAGATGAAAACAAGTCACCATCCAGCAGTTATATTATCCAGCATGCATTATACTCCTTCATTATACACATCAACCAACCTGTGGCAGGCAAGACAAAAACCTAAAAGTCCACTTTCCCCTATCTGACACAGAGAACTAGCAAAGCATTTGTCCAGAGCTTTCCACTCACAACAAAACCTTTGTAGTGTTTGTGATAGAAGAATTCAGGGCCCTCTATTTTCTCTTCCACAGACAAATAGAAAACTGTCTGACGTCATTCTTGTACTCAGCAAATGATGGCTTTGCTTTTATATCTGCATTCCTATCAAAGGTAGACATTTCACTAACATCTCCAATATTGATTGGTTCTATCAACTATCTTGCTAATACATTCTTATCAAGGCAGTCAGAGGACAGAAAGCCTTGGGCTTTTTCAAGTAGATCCTCTCCCAAGTGGAGTTTTGCCCCACACACCTCAGTCTTTGTTATCTACAGTTATCCCTGATCCTTGCAATATTCTATCCAAAGCTTTGCAGAAAGGACATGTAAGAGAACACTAGGGAAAAGGTGAGTTGGGGCTTGTAGAATGGGTGAAATTAGCTAAGGAAAACTTGGAAGAGGATGATTATAAATAATCTTAAAAGGTAGTGGAAGAGGATGGTTAATGAAGTACTCAATCCATGATAGGTAAATGACCAACATGTATCATTCAATACATTTTGAAAGAAGGTTTGAAGACAGGGCCGTATATATCCTCATCACCAATCCTGCCCTTTATTAGGGACCAAAAATTCTCCCACTGATAAAAAACATGAAGTGCGAAGACATGCCCTCTAAAATAATGCTCTTAAATTTATTCTTAAAATTTACTCTCTGATTATGACATGTGAGGCCAATAGCTCCCAAGTTTGCTTTCTACATATTTTTGTTTTTGTTTTTTTAAATTTTATTAATTTATTTTGATTTATCAACAATCATTTCCATATGCTTTTGAGTTGAAAATTCTTCTCCCCCTTCCTCCCCTCCACCCTCCCCAAGATGGCGCACAATCTGATATAGGGTTTGCATTTACATACCCATTAAACATATTGCTTTCTACATATTTTTGGATTAAGACTATAATGTTGTACCTGAAATAAAAACTCTCCTTTGATATTTCAAGGAACATAACTTTTGACTAGTTCCAATATGCTATCACTGCCTACCTTACTTCTGTAGCCAACAAGAAGGTAGAGTCACTTGATTAGAAATGTTCCTTAATTTTCCTTAAAATGTCTTACCTAAAACCAACACACTTCTATGGATAGAAGATAATTTTCCTACTCAGCTTAAAGGGATTCACTGTGTGCTGATATCTTATTGACTTTGAAAAGAAACATCCAAAATACCTTCCATTATTTGTTTTTTGGTTGTTTTTCTGTCATGTCTGACTCTTCATGACCTCATTTGGGGTTTTCTTGGAAAAGATAATGGAATGGTTTGCCATTTCCTTCTCCAGTCCATTTTATGAATGAGGAACTGAGGCAAACAGAGTTAAGCTATTTGCCCAGAATCACACAGTTAGATTTGAGCCATGAAGATGAGTTTTCCTGACTCCAGGCCAGGCACTGTATCCACTGTACCACTTAGCTGCCCTACCTTCTAGTATACTGAAGTTGAAATATCAGCAAGAGTACTAACATGCTCTTTAAGTGAATTAAAAACTATCCATCTATACTTTGCACCTTCACTGATGTCCATTTAGTGTTGCAGTGAGAAGTTGTGATTCCCTGCTATAGGTGGTTAAAATGCTTTGGTGTGTTCACCAAAAAGTTTTCCAAGGCTTTTCTTTTGTTTTCCTTTTTTTAAAAAAAAAATTAAGAAAGAGAGGGTGGAGGAGGAAAAGAAGAAAAGCAGGACAAAAAGGAAGAGCAGAAGGAGGAAAATAATAGCAATAAATAAGAAAACACAGAGAACAGATTTATTTTAAGAATATTAGCTTAGAATTAAATTAGTTAATGGACATTTTAGCTAGAGTTCTGGATAAGACACATTTAAAACTTTTTTTGGAGTTCTTTTTTTCACCATATAATCTTTGAACTTACACCAACAGAAACTAACAACATCACAAAAAGTGTGGGTATGATCCTACTTTTTCCTACCTAGTTATTCATGAGAAGAATTCAGATTTTGAGGAAATACAACATTCTCACTAATGATGGTGCTGTGAAAAAATTTGTTTGATTAGTGGCCAAGGTCAGGTTGGTAAAGGCACATTTTTGCTTCTATTCCAGACTACTGAGTGGTTTAGCCATCTGTCATCTCTCAGCCCTGATGGATATTTTGTAGGGCAGGATTATTATTCAGGTATAGATTCAACTACATGGTTACTGAGGTCTCTTACAATACTGAAGTTCTATGATGCCATGATTCTTTTATACTTGAGTGACCTCAGACATGTCACTATACTCATGAGGGTCTTATTTTTCTCATATGTAAAAAAGAAAGGTTGGACAACTTCTCTGAAGGACTATCTTTAAAGGCATACTCGGTTTAAAGGTCAGAGGACCTAGGATTGTATCCTGGCTCTGCCATTAACTGCCTGTGTGGCCATGGGCAAGTCAATTAACTGCTGAGCTTCCATTTTCTCATCAGAAAATATAGAAAGTTGAATGACATCAATGGTGTCAAACTCAAATAGAAATAAGGGTCACTAAACCCTACATAAGGATCCCTATAGGATACATACAGACTCAGAAAACCACATGATAACATTATCTATGTTCTATTGTATTTTTATTTGTTCTGTTAAATGTTTCCCAATTACATTTTAATCCAATTTGGTCAGCATGTTGCTGGCCACATGCAGCCCATGGGCTATGAGTTTGACACCTCTGCGCTACATGATCTCTAAGACCCCTTCTAATTCTAAAGTCCTATGATGTTATGATCCTATGATGGTCCTGGGGTTGCTTTCTTCTGATAGCATCTGAAAACACTGATCCAGGAACTTGATATTAAAGGTGCCATTTGGAAGAGTAGTGGGAGTTGAATCTAGGTGAGAACTGAGAGCTATTCTTTCTCCCCAG